AAGAAGAGGGAAGAATGGAGAAGAAGAGGGAAGAATGGAGAAGAAGAGGGAAGAATGGAGAAGAAGAGGGAAGAATGGAGAAGAAGAGGGAAGAATGGAGAAGAAGAGGGAAGAATGGAGAAGAAGAGGGAAGAATGGAGAAGAAGAAGGAAGAATGGAGAAGAAGAGGGAAGAATTTGTGAGAGGGCTCCCTTAACAGGCGTTCGAGGGATTGAAGCCAAGACGCCTCTTTTGAAGCGCATGGCGGAGAGAAAAGCAATTTTGAAACGCGTAGCCGCGTGTAGAAGAAGAAGGAAGCAGCAGCAGCAGCGTCGGCAGGAACAGGTCGAAGGCGGCTCTGACTATTTTTTTGCGAAAAAAGTCAAAGAACGCATTTTTTCGGAAAAGCCACACTCACATTGCAGCGGCAGTAGAGGCAGCCTTCTCGAGAGCCGCCAGAAGGTCTTTGCGATGAGCAGCGGCTTCATCGGCTGCATGCGCTGCTGCTGCAGCGGCTGCCGCTTGTTCGTGTTGCTGCTCGGTGTGGTGAGCGGAGGAGGGGAGACGACGGTGTGCGTCTGCTGCTGTCGCTGCTGCTGCTGCTCTTGCTGCTGCTGCTCCTGCTGCTGCTGCTCTTGCTGCTCTTGCTCTATGAGGCCTTTCTGCCTTGCAGGCAGGAGGATCTGTCTCTCTCCACGCCAAGGCGGCAAAGCCTTTCGCGAGCGAGAAGCTGCTGCTGCCTGGGATTTCCCCCCACAGCACGCTTTGAACGAACGCATCCTCAGCGGCGAAGACAGCGGCAGCAGCGGCAAAGACCGCTTCATCGCTCCTCGAAACAGCAGCACGAGGCACCCCGCTGAGGCTCCCCCCGCCCCCCCCCGAGGAGGCAGCAGCGATCTCTCCAGAGTCTTGCACAGCGCGGTGCCTCCCCCCTCCTTCGCGAGCCACTGCTCCTGCGGCAGCTGCTCCCTCTGCAGCAACGGCACTCAACGATCTTACGCCATGCAGCTGCTGCGTCTGCTGCTGCTGCTGGGAGTGCGAGGCAGCCACACCAACAACAGCTGCAGCTGCTGCTGCTGCAGCTGCTGCAGCGCCGCTGGCGGCAGCTCCCTGAGGATCGTCCACGTCGACATCGTCGAACTCAAACTCCTGATCTAGATCCCCTGCAGCATGCGACACGGAAGCCTGCCTTTGCTGCTGCTGCAGGTGCTGCTGCTGCAGTTGCTGCTGTCGCTGCAGCTGAACTGGTGCGCAACGTCCTCTCGAGCTGTATGCGTCGTGCTGCATGCATGAAGCCTTCTCCTCGACGGGCGGAGCTGCCGTCTCCGCTGCTGCCCTCTCTTGAGCCAATCCCGAGCAGACAGCAGCAGCAGCAAAACTGTCGGAGAAAGCAGCAGCAGCACTACTCCTACCACCACCAGCATCCCCCCCCTCGTCCCCCTGCGGCGAGAAACGCCCCCAAAAAGACTCCGCCTCCTTTCCGCCGTTGCCTACGACGCCAGCAGCAGCACCTCGAGGCTGTGCAGCTGGCTCCCTCTCCGCAGCTGCATTTTCTGCCTCGCCGCTCTCCATAGCCTCCTCGAATGCCTTCTCGAGCTCCCACTCATCTCCCTCCTCCTCATCCAGTGGCTGCGCTTTTGCCGTTTTTTCTGACGACACTGCCAGTAGAGCTGTGGCTGTGCCTGTTGCCGACAGCTCCGCCGACTCTCTCTGATCCTGAAACTCTTCCCTTTTTTTGGCACCCACTGCAGAGACCAGTGCGCTGCTGCCACAAGCACTCTGCTCACTGCCTGCCCCCCCCCCCTCCGCAGCGGCAGCTTGAGCTGCTGCTGCTCCGTTTTTCGACGGCAACGCAGGCACTGGCGCATGCGACTCCCCTGCATTCTCTGCGGGAACCTCCCCTCCAACGGCAGATGCCAGACAAGCAAGAACCTCTTCAGTCTCACTACTCTCCACTTCCTCCACACCCACTGCACGGCTGTCCACGTAACAGTACGTACAGCTGCAGCTGCGGCTGCTCCCACACCCCATGCCTCGCTTCCTACCCCCCGGCAACATGCAGCAGCAAACTTGCAAGCCTATTGCACCAAGCGTCTGCTGCATCTGCTGCTGCATCTGCTGTGAATGCCAGGAGGCGCTGTTGGGAAAGAGTTCTTCAGGGTTCATCAACAGAGCTGCACACAGCCGTCTTCCGCTGCCGCTCAGGCTGCTGCCAGTGGATCGACGCTGCTGCCTGGCAACGAGCTGCTGCTGCTGCTGCCGCAGCAGCAGCTCAGCCTCGACAGCGCCTGCCTGCTGCAGAAGTGCTCGCGAGCAGGCAGCTAGCTGTAGCAGCAGCCGTGAAACTTGCTGCTGCAGATGAGCGGGCAGCACCAAGGAAATGAGCTGGAGGCTGCTGAGCATGTCTCGATGCAGTCCACCATCGGTGTGAAATCCCAATCCACCCTTCTCCCCCAACTGCTCGAGCAACGCGCAGCAGCAGCTGCTGCTGTCGAGGCTTGGAGAAGCCTCGACTCGCCAGCTGCACTGCGACATCCAAAAAGCCTCATTTCCAGAGCTGCCAGCATCGCTGCCAGAAAAAGCACCTTCAGAAGCAGCAGCTCGCAAGGCTGTGCTCTGCAAAAGACACGTGGTAAGGGGACGCTTTTGCAGCGGCAGCTGCAGCGACTGCATGGCTCCCGACACTGCTGAAGTATGCCCTCCCCCCACAGTTAGGCAGTTTACGGAAGGGAACGGCAGAGGCAGCACACAGCCGACGAGGGATAAAGCGTCTGAGACACACAAAACACGCTTGAAAAATCCACGAAAGGTTTTCATGCAAAGCGACACAGAGAGCGAGAGAGAGTTGGAGAGAGAGAGAGTTGCAGAGAGAGACAGAGAGAGACATACAGACAAACAGACAGAGAGAAGAGAAGAGAATTGTGGACGGGTATGTAAAAGGGGCAAAGGCAACGACCAGCATGCACTGAAGGGAAACACGCGAGAATTAAACGCGATCTTTCATCAAGGCTTGTGAAGGAAAACGCCAGACGGTTCGAATGGCAACACTCACCAGCAGGGAGGAGACGCATATGCTCGTCTTCAAGGGGAAAAGATTGGAAGAAGAAATCAGCATGCATCTGTTCTGACCAGCTGTTGCAACCTCCCTTCAGCAGCAGCTCCTGCCGCCTCCTCGCCACAGTAGCTGCTGTTGCTGCTCTGGCGCTCCTATATCTCCTCTTGAAGCTGCCAATACTGCTGCTACTGCTGCTACTGCGTGCAGCATCGAACCCCCCGCTTTGGCTGTCTGCCGGGGAAGCTCCTGCCGCTTCCTCGGCGACTTCCTTGGATGCTGCTGATGCCTCTTCAAATGCAGCCGCCTTTACTGCACCCTCCGCATCTGAAGAGCAGCTGCCTCGAGCACGCCACAAAGTAACCTGATTGCATCTTCGAACTTGCGAAACGGCGGGAGAAGTTTTCACAGACACAAAACTCGTGCGTGGCGTTGCGCCTCCTGCTGCGCCTCCTCCTGCGATGGCGACTGCAGGACGAGCTGCTGTGCATTCTTCCGGATACAAGTACTCTAAAAGAAAGCGCGTATCCGTGATGCCCGTGGGGTTGTTGTTGCTGCCGCTGGTTAGGGGGCAAGGGGGACTGCCACCCGAGCAGGAGGAGGAAGAAGAAGAGGCACTCCTCGTTCCCCCTTCCCCCCCATGGCGGGTGCGAGTCGGAAGGAGCAACATTTATTTCCAGTTGCGTCAGTACACGCGGTGCGGAGACATGGCAGTGCGTTCAAACTGCTGCTTGAAGGGGGCCGCTGCGGAAGGGGGTGCTCATTCTGCGAGAGAGCGGGAGAAAATCGCCTTACAGAGGGCTATGCGCTGTAGGATCGCTGCTGAAGGGCGGGATTTCTGCCACGCGCCTTGGAGGCTGGTGCTTTCCGCTGACTTGCGAGGATGGCAGACTGCAGTAGCCGCAGAACGGCAAGAGGCGGGTCGGTTGCCAGGCTGCTGGGAGCGTGCCAGAAGTCCGTACAGAGCTTCCTTGCACATGCACGGTTAATAAACGTCGGAAAAATACGCAGAAACACATATTCAGAGTCTCCATGAAGAAAAATCCGCGATACTGCCGCCACACACGCTGCTGGCTGGCAGCAGCCGGACGGGGGGCCCCCCCGGGGGGAGGGCCCCCGTTGTTACTTGCCACTGCTCTATCCCGTCGTGACGGGGAAAGGGTTTTGCAGTGATACACACGAAGCGGTTTTCTTTTGCTCTCTTAAAATGCTGCGCGACGGCGTGTGGCGACGCCTCTGCGAGCTTTCTGCGCTTAGTTGTGGTGATTGGCGGGTGCGCGTGTGTAACACTAGCCCGCGATACCAACAAACCTTTGCCATCAAAAGGCCTCGCCCCTCATGAATATGGCCTTCCGACACGGATTCTTGTCCAAATTGTGTCTTGGCGCCGAGGGATGGGCGCGCGCAACACCAGCAATCTTCCTGCACCCGGAGGAGAAAAATCTTTCCCTGCTTTGCTCGAAGAGTTCCCTTGAGTGCCATGCTTTCCTCCACCCACTGCGAGAAATATGAAAGAAAAAAGCATGCGCAGCGCCTAACGGCCCAACAATGTTCCCACAGAGGGATGGGGAGCTCCGTTCTTCCCTTAGGCACGTCTGTGTCTTCGACTGCTGGGAGCAGCCTCGCTCAGCTCTCTCCCCCGCACACACACACACACATGCATGCATGCATGCGTCCCGGCGGCTCCGTCGATGACGATTTTGAACGACAGGAGGACCCCGAAAGACACAAAACAGCCGCATGCGCGAGGCCTAAGCGCCGCTTGCGCGAGGGTGTCGTTTGGGCTTAGGTGGAAGAATGAGCGTGGGTAGTCTTTAGACAGCAGACTGCGCCTTTTGTGGCAAAAAGTTCTCGAACACTGTGAACACCCGTGTGTCTGCCCCTCGCTTTGGCCATGTCTAGGCCAGCTTAGCAAGCGGGGCAGAGACGGCCACTCGCAGCCTTGCTAGAGTCTCCTGATATTTCTCCCCGTTAGTTGTACTGCCGTGGGGGCGAAATCGTTTGCAGAGCTCACTGGAGCTTGAGCCGCCTCATTCGGCCCCTATTTCAAGCCTCCGTGAGGCACACGGCAGGGGTGAGGTAGTTAGGAAGCAGCAGTAAAAATGCCAATGCGCAGAAACGTGGAGAGGCGCGTCAACGCTTGCCCGCAAATGGGGGCTTAAACCACCCTCGAACGAAGAAGATACCTTCTATGAGGCCAGCTTACAGAGTCTACACGAAGAGAGGCTGCGCCTCTTATCCTACAGCACACGCCTCTACACACGAGAACGGTGCAAACAGACCAAAATCCCCGATCGCTCAGTCTCTCTCTCTGCTCAAGCACAGAATGCATCAAGACGAGGCGAGGCACCCGAGTCAGCCAGATCTAAGGCAGACCGTTCTCTGCAGTGTCTGCCTCGAGCGGCAGCATGCAGAAGGCTTCATCCCCCGATGCCCACGAACAGCCCAACGCAGCTTCGTCGAGGTGGCAGCCGAAGACTCCCTGAAAGACGCAAACAAAGCAACCATCGTCACGGCAAGCCAAGACAACATCACCGAAGGCTTCTTAGACGGCCAGCAGCACCTGCTGCCTCAGTTACACAGGCAGACCACCAGCCCTCAAGACAGCACCAAGTGCAAAGACAGCAGCGCCATCAGAGCAGCACGCGTCTACCTTGTCGCTGCTGTAAGCCACGAGAGGACCATCAGACGCGAGGATATACGGCCATCCTGGAGCAAAAGCGTGACACACCACAAAGACACCCTTCATACGCGGGGAGAGACTTCCGCGTATCGCGACTAATGCGAGCAGCTCCCTGCCATGCGCTTGAGCAGTTCAAGAGGACACAAACTGACTGTCACCGCCCAGATATAGCATATGCCTCGCTCAAGCACAAAACGCTTCCATCCATCCGTTCGGCTGGCTAGCCACACCCAGTAGAGAGAGAGAGAGAGATGTGTGCGTATGCGCAAGCCCGCATTCCCCAGACGCTGTACAGAGCAGGCTGCTTGCCTGTTGTCTACCCACGCTATCGAGGCAACTTGTTTCTCAAGAAGCAGGAACGCCTAGGCAGGGAGGCTGTCTAACCCCTGTCTTACCAGCCGCAAACAGCCCCTTAGAAACTCGTAAAGTCTGCAGCGGCCTAGAACTGAAGAGCGAAAAGGTTCGCAGCCACCCCGCAGCATCCAGAGTCAAGAAACAAAAATCCTGACGTGTGCAGTCCACTGCCAACAGACGCGCACTCTGCCGGTAACGACACTGAAAATACAGCACATACACACACATGCATGCATGCATGTGTGTACACACATACATGGAGATTTCGACACACACACAGACACACACACACACACACACACACACACACACACACAGTTCCTAAGCATGCATACATATATTTATATAGCCATATGAATGTATATATAAACATGTGGAAATAGATGCTTCTATTTGCTTATAAAAGGACAGACGCATGCACGAACATAGATCACAACAGTCGTACAGTCTTCCTTCCTCCCTCCTGCCCTCTACTACTACTACTACTACTACTACTACTACTACTGCTACTACTAACCCCCCCCCTCCCCGCCCAGAATACACACACACACGGCGTATGCTCTGGAGTGCAACCTATGGCACCTTCCCGTTTGAAAGCGTGCTCGATGGCGTGGAAGCTCGTGGCTGCTGCTTACCATGGGCTTCCCAGTAAAGGGGGGAGGCGGCTTCAGAGAACCGTGCAGTGGTGTGTGAGCGTCACCATTGAAGGAAGACAACTGCAGCAGTTGCCTCTGTTGCTGCAAGAGCAGCGAGCAAAAGCGGAAGAACGCTTCTGCTACTCGAAAAGCGAGAGGAGAGCGTTCGAAGAGAAAGAAGGGGTGGTAATGGTTCTTGAGGGAGGTGGTATCTGGACTGTGGTGATGCAGGTGCGTGCTGCTGCTGTTTGCTCGTAGGCTGCCTCGATTTTTTTCAACATCCTGCAGCGTGTGCAGGAGGAGTTCGTCTCCTGCAATGCCAAGACTGTTGCTCCTTGCGAGACAGTCGTTTTTCCGAAGGCCTTTTTCCGTGTCTCGCGCGTGTGTGGGTGAAGGCACGACTGCCGAAAGGGCATTTTCTCCCACATGGACCTCTTTTTCCAAAGGGCGAGGCTTGCGGCTTGCGAATCCAAGAGCGAGTCTGCTGAGGAAATGGGAGCGCCTGCTCGCAAGTGCGTGGTTCAGACTCTGGTGATCCAGAGAGGTCTTCTGCAGGCAGCGAAGGAATATTTCCGGCAGACAGCCTAGAGAGGCCTCTGCCGCAGGTGTCGCAAAGTCTGTTTCTCTGGAAGAGTCGAGTCTCTCGCTTCGCTGCAGAGCACTTGGTCTAGCCAAGGAGATGCCTGGCAATCCAGCGGAAGGGGGGGCGTCTCCTGAGCCGCAGGCAGCAGCGCCAGACGGCTGCCGCTGCTGATCCGTGCATTTGAAGTTCGAGCAGGTGCCAGAGCAGCACTGGTAGCCAGCTGCTGCCGCTTCTGCTGCTGCCCTCCTGCTGAGCAGGCCGAGACTCCGCGCACGGGAGGCGTAATACTCGAAGAAGGGTAGACGCAGATCGTACACGCATATTCCGTTGGAAGCGGAAACCAGCAGAAAAAAGGAGAACAAGAAGCGCGCGTGATTCATACGACGCGGCCCAAGCTGCTTAAATACCAAGAATTCGTCCATGTAGCTGCGTCTCGCAGCACACCAGCTGCAGCAAGAGCAAGAGCAAGAGCAGAGCACCCACACCACACGGCAGCAGCAGCAGCACACGAGCACTCAGTGCCAACAAAAAACTTGCAGACAGCCGATCGCTGCTGCAAAGCAACCCGCGCCCACACACCTCTCCCCTGTAGAAACGGCGGAAGAGGGGAGCACCACCTCTCAGAACCAAAAGGTGGCTTAAGCTTTGCACCTAGAATAGACTAAACGATGTGTCGCCTGCCCTTGTGGCTGTGCTCTGCACAGAAAAAACAACAACCCTACCCCTGACTCTCCTCAACGAGTCTTGCAGCCCCTCGAGCATCCACCACGAACAACCAGCGACGATCGGGCATGCCATCGCCACTGCAGCACCTGTAGCATCCAGACACACACACACACAAAGTGCACAGGCTACTCCACGAAGGCATGCACGAAGAAAAAAAGAAAAAGCACGCAATACGAACAACCCCCTGCCCCTTATGATGCAGATTGTCGCACACCGGGGAGCACGACAGCTCCCGAACGACCCTTCAAGAACAGATGCCAAAAACAGAAGGGAGGGAGACACTCTGTTGCGCTTCAGTGATAAGGGCACACAGACACCGACAAGCCGACGTACAGCAAAAAATCGCCATTGAAATCCAAAGCAATAAAATTCGAGGCTTCCATGCTTCTCCACAACTTAGAAAAGTAACTTGCCTCGTAGCGCTCGTACATATCGCCTTCCCCTAACAAAACACCCCCAAAGCCACACAAAAACACAGGGTAAGCCCAGCAGGGAGGCAGCAGCAGCACCAGCATTTAGCAGCGCAAGCCGAATCTGCAGGAAGCGCGAGGTCAAGCGAATCGCGTTGGATTTTTTTCACTTTGCGTAAAACAACAGGCAACATGGCCTCGGCGGGTGTGTGGGCTATATATAGGCAGGGGAAGGGCATGTGTGTTATGTGTGTATATGTGTATATGTGTGTGTGTATATGTGTGTGTGTGTATGTGTGTGTGTATGTGTGTGTATATGTGTGTGTATGTGTGTGTATATGTGTGTGTATGTGAATATATATATATATATATGTCTCTGTGTGTGTGTGTATGTGTATGTATACATCTATTTATGTATGTGTCTGTGTGTGTGTGTGTATGTGTATGTATACATCTATATATGTATGTGTCTGTGTGTGTGTGTATGTATACATATATATATGCATGTATATATATATATGTATATATATATATATATATGTATATATGGATGTGCGTGTATGTGTGCGGGAGGGGGAACGGGGGGCAACAGCGTCTCTCTGTGCAGCCTCTTAAAACATCGTGCAGCGAGTGTGGTCGCTTATACGCTTACTCAGGTCCATAAGACACGCTGCACCTGTCCCTAAGAGGCATGCGCTATGACACCGCGGAAGCTGCTGCTGCTGCTGCTGCTGCTGCTTGTCGAGTGTACAGTGACCTGCGGCTAGCGCACAAGCCCACGCTTTCTGCAGGTGTTTCCTCGACTCCGTCATACGTTCAGATGCCATGGATAAAGACGCTTCTCTGTGAGGATGCTGCATCTTAAGAAGGATCATATTCGCTAAAGCCTTGCTGCAGTGCCTGTACATCAACTGTAGCTGCTTCGTATCCTCGCAGCGTCGCAAAAGCCGCATGCTAATGGCCACTGTGTTGAAGGAGCTCCGACCCGCGAACAGGGAGAGCTGCTCGCTCCCCATACACCGCAGAGACGGCAGCTTCCACTGCACAAGCTGCACCTCAAAAAATCAAACAAATCCCAAACTAAAGCCCCTTAAGAAACACGCTCTTTCCTGCTTTTTTTTCTAGCTTTCTCCCCTCCTTCCTCGCTTTCTCCCCTCCTACCCATGCGTTCAGAACACTGACGCAATTCACGCTCTAGCTTTCGCTAGTTGACTGCTTCTTCCCACAGGCCGACTGCTATTTCGAGATTAAGCGAAGACAAACTGGCAAGCTTTTTCGTGGCTTACATCAGACGCCCCCATAATTGCCGTGAGGTAGGAACTGTCCACCCAACATATAGCGACGCCATCATCGCTGTACGCCTGCGGCAGGAGCACCTGCCCTTTTATCGCTTCATTCTTCTGAGACTCTCCAAATAGATGCTGCTGTGGCAGCTGCACTGTGGCGGAAGAGTCGGTCCCGTAGAAAAGAGAAAGCCGGCCCAAATATGTGCCAGCAGCCACTCCAACTCTCCTATTAACACTTAGGCAGGCAAAGGGATCCCCTAGAAGGCAAGGCAGCAACAACTGGTGTTGTTCTGCCTTGCCATCGCTGCTGTTGCCGTCCCCTCTAGAAGCGGCGAAGATCCTGGATAAAATACGTGAGAATTTGCTGGTGCGTTGTTTTTCGGGAGCAGCCAGCGCTTCCGCTGCCATTCTATTGCTGCGCCTTCTCCGCACGCTCGTTTCTCCCTCTAGGGATGCAGAGAAGGGCGAATCAGGCCCGTTGGTGCTGCCGCTGCCTCTGCAGCGTGAGACGTAGCTGATGCGACTGCGCTCGCTGCTGCGGCTGCTGGCGCTGCACGCAACGTCGGCTATAGTGGTCGGCAGTGCAATAGCGGCGTCTTCCCCCACTGGTTGGCTCGGGACAGTCGAGGCAGCAAAAGGCAGCAAGATATCAGATGCAAGAGCTAATGCTGGTGGAGAAGTTGAATGCTGCTGAGGGAGAGGGTGCGTTGCTTTCGCAGCAGCACAGGGCAAAACCCCTCCATAGCCACACTGGAGCATCCCCTCCTCCACCGGCTCTTGATGGTCTTGCTGCTGTTTCTGCTCTAGCCGGCGGAGCTCTCATGCAAACAGACGTGACGTTCTGCATGGTTTAGCCACCACTAGGGTCCCCTTACTGGCATGACGGCTGGCATCAAGAGAGTTTTGCCGTTAGAGATGACTAGTTCAGCGTAATTTGTGGTATGGACTACCTATGAATCAGCATTTGTCCGCTGAGTTCGGCACAAACCGCATGACTCGCCAGGTAGACTTGTGCAAACTACGTGCGCCACTGACGAAACACGGGGCAAAAGGCGACTTCGCGTGACGCATTTGGATGCATGAGTCCGCCCATTTCCAAGTTTCCGGGGGATCTTCCGACGACAGTAGTCTCGGGGATTCATGCAATCTTGAGTTTGGGACGGAAGGGCTGTCGGCGCGCTGCGGCAACCAGAGGTTCTCCTGTTTAGGTTCTGGGCTAGGCGGGATGGTTATTTGCGTAAGACAAGGAGTTTATGTATTAGAACAGTGACATATACCATGGAAAAGGTGAAAGAAGTTCTGGCACCTGTGCTGAGGTGGAGGTTCAAACAAGGTGGGGGGTCTTGGAGGCCTCAGAGAGACCTGCTGCTCTTTTTCTATGAGAAATAATTTCTACCGCATCTCAATAAAACAAAGGAAAAAGCATTTCTGCGCTCCCTTCTTCATTGTCTGCACTCGTTCTCGTGCGCTGCAGTTGCGGCCATAACCCCCAATGCCTAGTGTGGCAGTTCGAGAAACTTGCACGCAGAAGGCTTTACACTTCATAGGGGCACCCAATCGACTAACTCTATACTCATGGGGCGTAGCACAAAAGTCTAGGGCTGAAACTGAATCCACACTATTCGTGTATCAAAGACATGGAGCCGTGGTGCGTGCACGGGATAAGTTTGCACTTTCATTCTTACTACAGAGGCCTTCATTACATGAATGCAAAACTCCTGTAATGTCACAAAAACCTGCCAGCGGTCGAATTGACCCCCCTTCCCAAAGCAGTCGTAAGCCAAAAATCTTCCCGGGCAACGAAACGGCCTATCAGATTGGGTTTCGTGCGTTACATTTGCTGCATACTAGGGTTAACTCATTACCGTCATCGTGGAGGCTGCCTGCGGAGAGATAATTTTACAACTGCATGCGAGTGCTTAAGGTGCTCCGCGATCAGGAACACGCGGTATGGCTGTTCCCTCTCAAATCATGCCGGAGCCATGACACGAGAGGAATCAAGGACCTCTTTGGAAGCAGAACTTGAGAGCTTTCCATTAGGTTTTGTGTCGAGCTTGTGACTAAGGGCCTTCGCATCAGGACTATCTCAGGAGTGCTCAATACTCTGCGAATGTCAGCTTTCCGCCCCTTGTGAATCGTCAGCACTTCGTGCAAATATAGCATTCTTCAGCCAAAGTTACATGTGCACTCCAGAGCCTTTTTCCCTATTTCCTATATATGTGGCTATGTATAATTCTTTTGAGTGATTTTACAACGAGCAGTGTAGCTCAGCCCGCTACATAGCACTTTCTAATACACTAGTTCTCTATAGCCGAGAATTAGTGTAAAATTGGCAGAGATTTGCCTGTCGGTGACCGTATTTATTGCAGGATGTTGTTCACTCGTACAAGACGCAATTTTCGCTAGGTGCCGTGTGTAACGAGCTGTGAGTGTTATGAACTGCTGACAGGGTGCTGAATTGTACACCCTAGCTGTCCTCCCTGCACGCCGGAGACCCTGAGGCAAACGGTCAGGGGAAGGAGGACGATCTTTCAGAAAAACTCAAGAACCTTCTATTGAGGGTTTGCATTTAGTCTGGCGTTTTTTGTCACCCCATCGAGACCCTAGATGAAGGGTTGCGAAGAGTTATTCAGATTTGTTGGGGGTTTTAAAAGGCTAATCAATGATTCTGCCGAAAGCGCACAAGCCACTAAAGTCACCCGGTCCATTTTTCTAACATACTAGGTTACACAATAGAAAAGCTTGAAACGGCTGGATCAGGGTGCCTAAATGAAGCATTAAGATTTCTTTACCATTGTGGGTTGGGGCCTCCAACACCAATTGCGTTCCCCACGCACCCGCAGCAATACATCTTGCTCATTTAGCAGAACCATTAGCTTATTTCGCGTGCTCAATCTTTCTACGAATGGCGAGAGTGCGTCTAAACGAACAATAATATACCTAACGAAATGGTCGAGTGACGTGAAAAATCAATGCCCGTATTATAGTCAATACTGGCAACACAGTGGCAAGCGAATAATTGAATGAAAGGCGAATTCTCGGTCTACAAAAGCACAAGCAGTCACAACCTTCTGGATCAACAAAAGCAATTACGACTTAGTTTTACTGCTTGCGTGACTGTGTGTGTGTGGCAAGCCTGATGCATTCAGCGCGCGGCAGTATGCAAGAACCAGTAACCAACGACAAGAATGAATTCGCTTCCTTTAGGGGATTCGGCAAATAAAAGACCTTAGCAGGGTGGTGAGGTAATCGATAGTCAAATTCATCCTGGGATAAGCTTTTATTGTGCTTTTGAAACTAAACAGGTTGTGCCGTGGGAGTTGTGATGCATCTTAGAATAGGATTGCGGTGCGGTGCAGCAATGGCTAGATTCCCTTATACAAAGTGGACACAGTACTAATAGTACAAACAATGGAACTTGCTGTCAGCTGCCTTTCGCACCAGTTAGCAATCACTAGGAGGCTTATTTTGGGCCTCAAAATCCAGTAAGATGTGTGGATATATCTTGAGGGCCTTGTGTTATGTTAAGTTCTTCAAACATTTTGATTGTTCACAGCACCCTTGCGCACGCCCCTGTAAAGACGCTGAAAGCGCTCATTGTTTCCAGGCCAAGATTCATTGTTGGCAATAGGGACTTACGGATAAAAAATTGAGCTCAATAAGAAAGCAAGTAATCCACGCAGTGGCTAAAAAGGAGTCCTAGGAACAGAAGGATCTACTCTCGGGCAGATAGAAGGAGGATATAAACTGTTTTACTATAGCAAGCCTCGTAATTACCACAACCATCATTCTTTGTTCCGTTTTTCCCTCCTTCAGGGCTGTTTCACAGGTTCACAATTTGTTCATTACCCCACAAGTACTGAGCAGCGAAATCTGGAAAGTTCTGCTTAGCTTGGGTGAAGCTATTGAGCCTTCTTTCTTCAGGCTTTCGTTTTGTTAGGCCCATTTGAGGTTTACCTATAGAAAGGATCTGGCCAGTAAGCTGCACTTACCCGATCACTTAAATAACAGAAATACATTTAATGATCCATAAATCTGATCATTAAAGCTTATATTTTTGTTTTGAAGGGGCCCTCAGCACGTGGTCTGCTGAGTCTCTGCGGTGCTCGCTATGGCGAAGTAGGGAAGGTCACCACCACTGAAGAGCGTAGCCTAGGTGGGGAATCTCTGGACGAAATATGTTGTTAAGGACTTGTGCTGTGAAATAAATTTGAGGTTTATGGGGTGACGTTTCCTTAAACTTTGGAAATGCCCCTTCATCCGTGGAACCTCCGTCGGTAACGCCGGGGGTCGCCGGTCCGTTCAGAAAGGGCACGCAAAATAAGTTCCTTCGTCCTTCCGCTAGTGCCTTTTCACAGAAAGCGTCCGATTGAACAGCATATAGTGCATTCACGAAGCCTCGCTGAGGCGAATTCAGTGATTTCGTAGCCGCTCAGGCCGACCTGCATAAAGAGCTGGCCCACGAAAAGGGTTCGCAGAGCTAACAGCTTGGTACTGTGCTTGGACTGATTGGAGCACACGGTCTATCCCGCGGTGGCGGTCATTCAACATGGTGGGCTGGATGAGAAGCTCTGCTATGCCTGGGATACGCCACCCCACGATAGCACCACTTACTGGCCCTGGGAGCCAGTCCTTCACAGGGGCAGCGGGAGCTCAGGCGGAGGCTGCGCAACTGCCACAAGCAGACAGCTACAAAAGCTGCGGAAGTGCGTCTGAGAGCTACTCGGCAGCGTATTGGACTCCCTGGGACTGCTGCCGGTGTGCGGCGGAGACTCGAGATGCCATGCTAGAGAAGGTTGCTTATGTTTTTGGACGATACGCGCTCCTTGTGTACCGACACCCCTTCAAGGTGCGCAGACGGATAAGCACATTGCACGCCTTTCTTTGCTGTGAAATCCCTTAAACAACCTCCTTGTGATTTCTCAGGTGATGGTGCTGCCTGTTTATTGCAGTTCATCGTCTTCAGCCTGCTGCTATCCCTCAGTCTCTCTTTTGGACTAATCTGCAAGCGAAGCACAACTGACGGAGTAGTTCAGTACACTATTCCCAACAGTCGAGCGCAGATGGTACGGGTCCACCCGGAGTCTTCGCTGCCACTTCCTCCCCGTTCCAGCTGTGTGCATTGCAGGGATTTCGGATCGTCACTACTTTACATCTTGCAACACAAAGGCCTGATAAACTGCCCCTCTTATTATAAGTTCCGTGTGTGTGCAGGACGCCGACGAATTTAGAATGCTATTTCAAGGGAATGTAACGCGTAGTGAGGTTATCCTAATCGCGGCGAACGATGGGCGCAGTAATTTGCTAGAGAAGACCTTCCTTGATGCGGTTTGGGACATGCATATGCGAATCTTAGATATCAGGGTAACCGAAGAAGACGACGGTGATATGCTTGCCAACGCAGCAGCCGATGTTGCAGCGGTCGGAGATACAATAGAACTGCCCAAGCGTCGGTTACAGCAGCACACACCGCGCTTGCAGCATGACGGGGAACTGGCCCCAGCCAGCGGCAGGCATATCCAAGATCTCGCAGGGTGGGAGAGCGAGCAGCAGACCCTACCCAGGCGACTGGCATGGGGAGACCCTGTTGCTGCTATGCAGCAACACTTTGTGCAGGAGCAACTCATGCAACAACAGAGGCAACAGCAAATCCAGCAGCAGTGGCGGCAGACGGGATGGCCAACGACGAGTGGCGGGCGCAGGCGCCGCGAGGCGATGGCTCCACCTGCACAATCAAGACGTCAGCCTCAAACGCAAAATCAGCCGTTCTCGATTCCTCCGTCTACACAAGAAGAAGTGTGCGACCCCGAGAAACAACTGCCTCGGCTTCGAATTACCGGATTGGGTTGTCTGCCTTCATTAGGTCCTGGAGAATATGGATTTCAAAATCTCTGTCTGAAGGATTCCACGGGGGCGTGCGAAGCCCCTGATGGTGTCATTTTTGTATACGGCCACAGACGGTACGAAAACGTATTCTGATTAGGGGTGTTGCAAACAACCACCGCGCGGTGTTAGCAGCAACGAGACCTCTGTCACAGGACATGCGATGCACTGTACTGCAGCTCCATTCTTCGAAAAGCCACATCGATGATTTGCTCTCAGAGAATTCGGCTCCATGGTTGAATACCCTTTACATACGTCGTTCGTGCTCGCTCGAGGGTTCCCCACAGACATGATGCTCTCTCCAAAAGGCCTGCGGTTGACGCCCTCTGGCAAATATGCGACGGGAACGGCTGCCTTATCAATAAGGCAAGGCGGCTGCGCGTGAAGGCTTGCTTTCCTGTTGTGACGGCTTAGTTCATGCAAAAAGCAAGCACATGGTCTTAAATAGAAGCGTGCTTGGTTACACGCTTCCTGCCTTCAGATCCTGGCCCCCCGCGGCCCTTCGAGATAAAAAGAGTTTTCCTTGCAAATGCTGGGGAGCTTGCCTTTCGCACAACTGATGTAGCTGATATCCGCACGATTAGTGTGTTTATTGCACTGTTGGCGGGAGTGTGTATCGCTATTGAGCTAGGAAGATTCGGGTATTCTTTACTGGACTGCACGATGTGGAATGCAGGTATCAGATATCGGACGATGCCAAACTGCGGCCATACGCGTTGCGTTGGGAGCGGCGGCTCTTGCATCTGCTAGAGCAAGAAACATTGCCGGGAGCTCACATAGGGCTTAAGACAGAAAGGAGCCTATGTAAGTTAGCATGCTGCCTTCTGAGTCTGTCCCTTGCCATGCGTGGCAAACTTGCTTTAGGGGGGGTTCGCAGACAAGCATCTGCTGTGCTAGGACTCAGTAAACAGTGAAAGTGCTTTGTGCGTGTGCTGCAGCTGACGAGCTGGCTGCGAGTTCCTCTGCAGGGCAGGGGGGGGAAGCCCTGATGGTGGCTGCTGCAGGGTGTTTGATTGGGGTGTACGTGTGGGTGGTGAATTTTTCCCGGTCTCATTTGCGATCTAAAGCAACCGTTTCTCTGACAGGTGCAGCGGCCGCTCTCTTGGGGTTTCTGGGGGGGGCAGGAGTCTGTTACATGTTTGGGGTGCTAAACACGGGAACTGTAGCAGCAGCACCGCTGCTTGTTGTTGGCATAGGCGTGGATGATACGCTGGTTATCCTGCATTCTTACAGTCTCACGGTGCACAAGCGGTCCGCAGCAGATAGATTGCAGCTCACGCTGCGGGATAGCGGCGTGGGGATCACAATAACGACCCTTACAAATATCACGACCTTTGGAATCGGGGCATTCAGTCCATACCTCGCAATTCAGAGTTTTTGCCTCATCTGTTTATGTGGGCTGTTCCTCGGGTATGTCATGTGTCTCACGTTTTTTCTGGGCTTCCTCGCGTTGGACGCAAAGGCAGAAGCAGCAGGCAAGGTAATGGGCGTCTACAAATGTTACCCCATGGAGGTGATGGCAGATTCTGCGAGGCCTAAAGCAGGAGACGCTTCGAACCCCGGGAATACCCAGCTGAACCAGCCAGTGAAGCAGCAACTCAAAATGCCACTGGGAACCTTGAAAGCGTTACCAACGCTGCAGTACCTCGATAAGACGAGGCTGCCCGGCGCGGACGCGTCAGCTTTGTCAGCTTGCGCCAGCGATATCTTCCAATGCATTACGATGCAGGTAGAGGCAGCACTACACCAGCAGCAGCAGCAGCGTCTTATCGAAGCAGAGACACGCCGCTTGCGGAAGCAGCAACCCTCGAAAAAGAAGCAGCCGAAAAAGGCTCCGAGAACGCGCAAGAAAGCCGCAGGAGGTACACGGGCTTCTGCTTCCAAAGGACGACGCAAAAAAGGGTGCAGATCCAGCGACTCGGAGGTTTCAGAACGGGTGCCTGCGAGAACAAGAAGACAGCCCGCGCGGAAGGTCAATCAAAAGAAGAAGTCTATGGAAACGTTTTGGTCGGCGAGGGCCTCTGCTAGCCAGAAAAGCGGCAAAAAACTCAATAGCCAGTATGGCACCAGTACTAGCAGCCGCAGCTCTATCAAAAAGGTACAGCAACGTCAAAAGCAAAAACGGGCGAAGGTCCTAAGGCCTGCGCTCAAGGGCCGAAAGCAGCAGATACAGCCTGAAGAACCCTCCGGGGAGGGCATAGGCTCGGTGCAGCAGATCGCATCCCAGCAAGTTGCAAAAGAAAGCGGCATAGTGCCCACTCCGCTGCCGTTGTTGCTTTTAGATGGCAAGGAGTCAAAAATAAATGCGGTGTCTGTACGACTGGCAAGGCCACGGGGCACCACCGTGCATTTCTACAGGAAGACCTCCTCCACGGCTGCTGCGCAGGCTCCAAGCTCCACATTGCCAAAGCCTCAGCTTTCGCAGCGAAGTAATCAACAAGGTAGCGACTGGAAAGACCGAATGGTGGTGAACCTTTGCTACGGCTCTGGGGCTGCTGTAGTCGCAGCAGCAGCTGAGGCAGCGGAAGCCGCCTTCAGCACGACAGGAAGGAGCTGGTCCGGAGAACGGATAGCGCGTCTTCAGCTACTGCAACGCCTTGGGAGGGATGGCCTTGTCGAGCCTCAGGGGAATGTTGGCAAAGGCCTCCGAAAAATACTTGTTCGATTTGGCGCACGACTCCTCATGAACCCCTTTTTCAAGTTGATGCTGCTCCTCCTCTTCGCAGGAGTGCTCATTACAGCGCTGATTGGATGCGCACAAATACAGACTGGACTTGATCCTCGAAGCCTTACCAAAGAGGGAACGATGCTCAAAGTAAGCCTGCATGACGCTGACGAAGTACACCCTGCATCTCCGTGAGTCGAAGCGAGATCTGGTAGGAGCGGGTAGGCGCATTTCACTGGACTTCTTCTCCCTTGGAAGGCCCTTTTGATGCTCTGATTTTGCAAAAATACTCATCAGCCTGGGTAAGCGCGTCTGATAGTGCTCCACCTTCTCACGTTCCGGGATGCTTATTTGCAGAGATTCTTCGATATGCAAGAAGAGTACTTTGGAGTGCACGGAGATCCAGTCATGGTGTACTTTAGCCATCCGGAAACCATTTGCGGGGCCGCTTTTCGTGTGAGACTTTAAAATTTGTCAATATTTTGACACATCGGGTTCTGAGGTCAGGCAATTTGGGCAATTCAGCGACTTGGCAACGCCGCGAGGGTCTTTTTAGTACTGTTTATCCTACTTCACGTTAGTGTGGCTGCGCGCCTCTTGGCTCTTGCATGATCAATTTGCAGGTTGAATATGGAAAGCTTCATGAACGCTTGAAATCACAGAAATACACGATGGAGGTTCACGACGGCCTGTCCATGTTTCTGCAGTCGCCGCTCGCCCGAAACGTCCCGGAACAGAGTACCATGACATGCATGCAAATGTGCGATGAACACATTATTAATATTATCGTTTTGTCGGGGATGAGCCACTTGGAATTGCCGCACTCGATGATCAGCTGCTGGGGTTCATGGGAAAATGTGATGCTCCGTGTTTTGTGGCATGCTACCTGCTTGTTGGAGTCTAATGAACAATGCTGTTTTAAGCCTATCCAAGGCATAGCTTGTCTAGTGTTAAGTATCCCCAATAAAGCCTTCACTCACACACGCGCAACTTGAAATTGTACGCCTTTAACCATGCCTAAAAAGCTGCTGTGCATGTAGACTACTTTTTTCCAAGGCCTTGACAACCTGACACCCAAGTTGCACTGGTCCCCCTGCCCCCTCCGATGTTCGTCAGGCTGTATGCGTGGCTTCAGACTCCCTTTGGCTCCAGTTTTGCCAGCTACTTTTCGTGGAGCAGTGGCTTCAGGCTACGTGCCTGGGCGCTTTTGCTGGTGCCCAAGTACTTTCCTAGCACGCAAGAAAACAGCAACTTCATGCACACACTCCGGTGGGGAACATAGAGTCCCCACGCACAGCTAGCGGATCACTGCTTATAAAAAGAGGCTGAAGCCTCCGCATCTTGTTAGTTAGCGCACGAAAAAGGCTCTTATCGTGCTATTTTCAATGCCTGCTGGTGCTGCTATTGGCACTGAACATGTGTGCGTGCTTGTTGGCCATGCGCTCCAACGAGAAGTCACAGTATTTCCCGGTGTTTATCTTTGCTGGCAGAGACGACTTGGCACAATTTCCTCTATTGAATGGGGCAGCGTATAACAGGAACTTTGTGTACTTTGAAAGCGACGATGCGATCTTGCCGCAGACAATTAGCAGCATGGCCAGTGCAGGATGCGCTGTTATTGTGGTAAGCTGCAAGAAAACTCCCCCACGAGGCAGGCATTTTGCTGACTGGCTGGAAATTTTTTTTAGCAAGATGAGGTCATATGCGCAGTCCTTTGGAATGTCAACATCGGAACTTCAGCTATACAATTTCGTTCCAAAAGCGCGAGGCTGTTATTCTTGTTGGTTTGCTTGTCAGGTGTCGTTGTTCTTGTTGCCCTCACTCTGGGGAGCGCTTCTTGTTGTTGCAGTGTTGTTACTCATCGACGTTGTGATTTTGGGCTTTATGGCTCTATGGGGCCTTCCCCTCAACTTACTGACGATGGTGAATCTCACCATTTCCATAGGTACGCGCACTCATATTTAGTCGCCACCGTTAGGCGTACGGCGCTCGTTCAACAAACAGCCCTATTTTCAGCATTCCTCGGAAGTGCTCATGTAAAGACTATAGAGTCTCTTCGTTCTGTTCAGGGTTTTCCGTGGACTATGCAACACATACAACCCACGCCTTCTGTCACTGCATGGGCCAGAAGAGGGGCATGCGGGCCTTTGAGGCGGTTTTGCTTGTCGGTAGTCCGTTGCTCCACGGTGCGATCTCCACCCAACTTGCTGTAGTGCCTTTGGCATTTATTGACAGTCCTGTTCTTGACGTGTTTTTTAAAATGACCACACTGGTGATTATCATTGGAGTTACACATGGGCTGATGCTCCTACCAGTGCTGCTGTCCCTACTCGGCCCCCTTCAGCAGTCGCAACAGAAATTCTTACAGCAACTAATGGTGTTGCAAAAGCAATACGAACAGCTAGAAGATCAGATCGTTGCACGTGGAGGCAGCAGAGCCAACCCAAAACTAAAACAACAACGTAGGGCCCTTCGGCGCCTCATTGAACAGCAGCAACAACCACCCGAGACCGTCAGGGATGCTTGTGTTGAATTCGCCAGGGGCCTGTGTCCAAATGATCCAAAGAACCCTTTTTTACGGAACAGCCGCATTCGCCTATGGGTGCAATCGCGGTGATGCACGCCTGAAGTGATTTCCATATGCCAGTTGTTTTTCTGGTACATATGCTTCCCTTTCAGATCAATCATGAGCTGGTTCTCGGCTGGTTGCATTTGATATTATTGCATTCTTGCTAAGGCTTGAGGGCTAAAACGTTTTCGCATGGGTATTTCACATGCTGTTTGCACTACTTCATCGTCCATATTACGACACAGCAGCCCTCACAGCGCAGGCTGCGACCTCCTTGAAAAGATTGCAAGTGCTGTCGTCTTTTGAATTTGGTACCTGCGCCTCAGACGTAATCTTCTAAAATGTTTCAACAAATTATGTTCTACATGGAGACTGCTCTGTGTGGTAAATGTCTGCAAAGTGTTGCTTTTTTCTTTCCCATTAAATACTGACGTGCAAACCGTTCCTCAAACTTGGGTATGGGAGCGAAAAACCAGTCGAAGCACCTAGTGGATGGTTTTCTTCCAAAGCATTGCAAACAGGTGCCATCTGAAAACAGGTGCCATCTGAAAACAGGTGTCATCTGAGGCCAGGCCAATGTCACACTATCAGAAGCCAGCTTACTTCTGCAGGCTTGTGCACCGAGAGATCCACCGTGCATAGGTTTTTAATATACTTTGCTACTAGCATGTACTCGGGTTTGCTGTAAATATACGTATACTTAGCTCTACTATCCTTCGGTGTATCTGGAAGAGACCTGGTGTGCAGGTCCTATGGCGTTCGCCATAAATTTTGTTGAATAAAAAGGGGTGAGCCTGCAGTATATTGAAACGCGGCTATATCAGTTCATTCAATCCTCTTGAAGGCTGTTCCCACACTTGGCACAGCCGACGCAGGTGTTGTAGCAGCTGCCAGAAATTCGTGTATCCATGTGTGGCGCTTCTGCTGCACCGACTTCGCCAGTCGCTTGAATACTCCCTTTTCTTTCTAGTTTATGAAGGTGACTCCAATACTCGTGTGTACTGCCAGCTAGCAAGTGTTTAAAAGTGCCTCATCGGCTTCTTGATGGCGAGGGGTGTCCACTACTTTCCGATCCAGTACATCCTGGAAGGCACGTGCCTATTCGCCTCGGCACTAAAAACATATTTGGTCAAACCGATACTAAAGCACCTTTATTTACACCCCTTTTAGATAGTTTCCACTTCCCCTTGAGGCCCACAAAACATGCGGGATCTGTTGGACCAGTTTGGTAAAGCTGCGCAGGACTACCTGTTCCAGCATTGTACTGGCAACGAAATAAAACATTTCTTTTAGGCTGGCTAGCGTATGCAAAGCGCAGTGCTTAGCCATCCTTGTGTTCAACGCGAATTCATGAGGAAAACTGGTGCTGCGAAATACAAATGCGCGCTACCTTCGGCAGCCACATTTTACAGAGCAACATAATTAATGCTGAAGAGCCCAAAATCCGGAAGTTTTTGCGCAAGCTTGTTAATTAGATAGAAATCTAACGTAATTCCTTTGAGGAAGGGTGGTCATCTGTAGTGTCCATGCCAGGTGACTGCCCTACACATAGTAGGGGAATGTAGTGAGCCATCTGAACAGCCACTCTTCTTCTCCTGCTTCTATCATTGCTTTTATATTGTCTGCAGGACAAAATGTTGCCATTTTCCAGGCGAATGCATGACCAAAAGGCATGAGCTGCACTTACCTCAACAAGAACTACCCCCATTGCTTCGAAGGAGTCCACCAGTAGCTTCTGCAGTCCAACACATTTGAAGCCGCAAATTCAATTAAATTCGCACAGACATATCGTTGCGTTGCCATCTGATTGCTAGCTAAGCCATAGAAAGGGAATTAGGATGCACCGAGTGCCCTTGCCTCGATCTTCAGTGTCCTGAGCTGCAGGAGCTGGCATCCGGCCTACTCCAGAATTATGCGCGAAGCTACGTGAGGTCTCTAAAGCCAGATAAATTCTATCACATGAGCATAAGCTACATTTTCGCTGACAGCCGGGCTGGATGATGTAGTGTGTGCTGAAAGGGTTGCTGATAAGGCGCCTGGTGGTCATCGGCACCCCTTGACCTCTCTTAGGTCGTTTACTAAAATGATTGTGGCCATGCGCACCTTATCAGACTATTGAAAAGCTGCTTTCATGGAAGTAAGCGCGCAGGAAATTGGTTATTCGAAGAGGAAAAGCCTATTTCTAGCAAATTCATTTCTCTCAGTAACATACGCTAGTAGTCGTACAGTTATAAAATACACTACGTGAATGGCCCAAGCAACAAACAGCGTACCATCAATTAAGCTACTCAGGTCGGCCGGAAGGTTTCTCTATCCACGTGCATATTTCCTTGAAAGTACCTGGTTCTGGGCCACTTCCGAAGCGAAAACGATCCCGCGGAGTTTACACTCCGTATTAGGGCCATGACGAGTGTTTTAAAGAAAGCGTGGTATTCCTTGATGCATTTAATATGAACACACGCTGCCAAATGATAAGGAGGCAGCACCTTATCCTGATAACGCTAGGTACACAGTGCACCTCGTGGAGGGAATTTTGGGAGGCTTTTGAGCCTCTTGGATACATATGTTTTGGGGCTTTACCGTGAAGGTAGTGTTCTGAATATGCCAGCCTTCCTGTGATCGCGGGTTTCAAGGTGGTAACGTCTCACGAGCATGAAAACGGAAAGCTCTTTTCCCTGGAGGATAGGCCAGAATCTCTCACTGGCGTGTTGACTCTACACTCGTCTACGTAAGCTTCAGAGCTTCGAAAAATGCCCGAACAAACTCGAGACATCCCTGCAGCACTAGATTCAAAACATGAATTTTCTTATGCACAATCTCCTTTGCTTCCATAGAGGTCCGGCTGCTGCGCTGCAAGCTCAAAAACGTCTTGATAAATTTGAATAAGTAAAGGCTTCTGCCTGATGATTCCTAGCACAGCGACAGGCAGGGCAGCAACGATGTCTCCTTTCTTATCAACACTCTCTTCCGTCGTTACAAGGCCTGAATCACATGCAAGCGAAGTACCGACCCTGCGTAATCCACTAATGCATAGAGCTGCGAACGATTCTAAAGCTTGCAAGCATTCTTCTTCTAATTAAGCAGAAGTCTCTGGAGAGAAGCCACTGCCATAATATATTCACCAAGCCCGGAGAGCCTTGTCCGAGTAAGAAGGAACAACATACATGCACGGTTGTACAACCTTGTAATCTTGCTCACAGCACCTTTGTTACCCAGCAAAGCAGGCTCTCTTAAGCGGATTCTCTCCGAATGGCAGCACGGTTTGAGCAATGCCTTTGCTCTGTAGCATCACTCCAAATAGGAAAGCCACGTCTGACAGAATAACTGGCGTCTGCCTTTTTCTGAGACAATTAAGGTTCTAAGGGCTATAGATGATTTTGTAGATTTGCTTGTGCCAGGAGATCTGTGACCTGGCCCCTAAAGAGCTTTCACTTGCCCTGTGACCCCAGACGATTACGAGAGGAATCCGCTGCAAAGGACGCTCTGGTGTTCAAATACTCGCAAGCTTCCCATCGAGAAAGAACAACCGATTGCTGCAAGCGCTTCTCTCTTCGGCGAAGCGGGGGCTCCAGTGCAGCACTTTTGTAAGGGCGTCTATAAAGTATCCTTTCTGCAGCAACACACGGGACAGACGACGCTGCCCCCTGTCCAGTCATCCACACCAATAACTGCTAATGCAGCCTCAACCTCATGGAGAATGGAGCCTAAAACCACTTGCTGCGTACTACCAAGCTTCGCAATAGAACACAAGGGGCTCCTGGGAAGGCACACGCCCTACGCCGTGAACATGACAACCACGACTTCGTGCCTACCCGAAGCAGCTAAAGAAGATCGGCGGGAGTCTTGCACTACCACTACAATGCGAAAATAGCCTATCTGCTTGCTGTCTTAAACTGGTATGCTCGCTGCTCTATCCTCAGTATCGCAGCTCGTAAACGAATTCCGATAGTCCATTGAACTGGTCTGCTGCTGCTCCTCAATTTGCACCCATTTGTAGCAGAAGCCCCGCCATTCTGTATCTGCTACGTGTGAGTGCACTGTGACTTACCTAATACCATATGTACTCCCGTGCAAGTAAATGCTGTGCAACAATGGTTCCGGTCTCTTTCACTGCCGTTTAGGGTGCATATGAAACCTTTGCTAGAGATCTGATCAGAGAAGGGTTCCCAGGTGGCTTGTTTTCGAGTTCCTTATCTCGTATCAGCGAATCCTATTGTAGTGGCTTTCTAGAGCTTTCCAGCCTTCCAGATTTGCCTGCTTGGTCTCTGTGTGACTTGCTGTCTCATGGCAGCGGGTTTCGTTGCAGCCGCAGTTTCGGATTACCAGCAAAATTTAGCGAGACAAAACAGTAAAGTGTATTCAGGTGCTGCACATGCAGCATCCTTATTACATAAAGCTCAGCGGAGCATTATTTCTTTTCTCTAAGCGGCAGAAGCGCCCTGTACAAATATGAAGGCCAGCTGGAAGCTAAATTTGCAATTGCGGCTGCTAAGTGTCGGACAGGTCCGGGCTTATGAGAAAACTAGAGCAATCATAGCTTCAGGAGGATATTTTTAGCATAGAGATCCATGTGCCCTCTAACCTACATCCTTCAGCAAGCCTCCATTTGACGCTCAGTAAGAGTGATGCACTTTACCTAAAGGTAACGCCGAAGCATCGAGAGCGTGACCGCTAAGCTATTAGATGATTGACGTCTCCAGCACGACGTAGCTTCTGTGTAATGCGTGTCGCAGTGCGTGCCTCCACACACCTACAAGCATTGCCTGCTGCACCCTAGAGATGCGAAAGAGGCTCAAGCAACCCGGTGATTTTATAGGGTGCAACACAATAATTCCGACTAATGCTCCTGGACAGAATGCAGGCATGAAGGGAGCAGCAATGTCTTACATGGACAGCTTTCCACCTACCAGCCTGAGTTTGTGGTTGCAGTAGATTCATGGTCAATGAAAACCTCGATAGTATTCTAGCAGGGGCCACTTTCGGCAAACGCACAAATGTAGCAAACGGCTGTGAACGCAAGCATGGGGGCTTTATTCGCTAAGTATCTA